CTCCCTCTACCTCCAGTGATCACTTTGTTCCCCCATCTAAGTAGGACTGAAGCATCTAAACTTTGGTCTTCCTCCTACTTGAGCTTCATATGGTTTCTGAGTTGTATCATGGGTATTCTGAGCTTTTTGCTTAATATACATTTATCAGTGAGTACATATGTTCTGTGTTCTTTTGTGTCTGAGTTACTTCACTCAGGATGATATTTTCTAGTTCTATCCATTTGCCTGGAAAACTCATGATTTCCTCATTCTTAAAAGCTGAGTAGTATTCTATTCTGTAAATGTACCACATATTCTGTATCCATTCCACTGTTGAAGAACATCTGGGTTGTTTCCAGCTTCTGGCTATTATATATAAGACTGCTATGAACATAGTGGAGCATGTGTCCTTGTTTTATGTTGGAACATCTTTTAGGTATATGCCCGGGAGTGGTATAGCTGTGTCCTCAGCTAGTACTATGGCCAATTTTCTGAGGAAGTGCCAGACTGATTTCCAGATTGGTTGTACTATCTTACAATCCCACCAACAATGGAGGAGTGTTCCTCCTTCTCCACATCCTTGCCAGCATCTGCTGTCACATGTGTGTGTGTGTGTGTCTCACACACACACATCATTCTGAAAGTGACTTTAGCCACCAATTCATCCCATTTAGTTAGCATTTTTTAAATTTATAATGGATATACACATATTCCAGAAGCAGGAAAAAGTGCAAGAGACTGGAACTTTCTCGACACTTGTCTTGTCGTCAGAAAGAATTGATTGACAGTTGTCATGCATCAATGACAAATTCTACACATTTTGCTATGTGGGACACTTGCGTTCCAATTTCTGAGATCCTGTGATGGAGCTACAAAGAGATATTTTTCACTGAAACTAACAATTATGTGATTTGCCTTGTGATCTTTTGTCTGTTTGGACTAGGTGAGTCTGGATTCAATATTCAGCAAATTTCTTTCCCAGGATTGCCAGATCCCCTCTCCATACCTTCTCTCAATAGCATCAGGCTCCATTCTGAGCACAATCCTCAGTCCTTGTCTCTTTGGCCCACAGGGACCATGAATGCTCCAGTCTTTCAGATGGCATTTCTATTCAGTGAAACTTAACAGGACTGACTCTGGGGTGCCAGCTGAATTGGTATATAATCCTATGTACTGGTACCAGCAGAGCCTAGAGAAAGAACTGAAATGGACTTATTGTTTAACAGTTGAAAAGGATGCTCAGAGGGGAGATGTGAGGACATCTATCTCAAAGAGAGTATCTATCTCAAAGAGAGGACCTTTACATCACCATGAAGTTGATCTGTGCTAGCCAAATTGCTTTGGACTTCTGTTCTGGCAGTTTTCTCCAGTAGCACAAGTCAATCCCCTTTGTGCATCAAATTCTCCATGCCTGCTCTCTTAACATATCCTCATGTACTTTATTTCTTCCAATAGCTATTATTTTCTACTCTCTCTGATGAATTCTCATAGAACACTCATGAGAACAGTTTTGCAAGATATGCTTTTATTCTTGAGATTTTTCTCTGCCATGCTCTATTTTCAAATACTGAGTGTTAGCGGAATAGTAAACACATTAATCCACAGAGATAATAATCCAATAAGTACATAATTATAAGGGAATTTAGCAGGACTGAATGTATTATGGTAGTAAATAAGACTGTAATTAGACTTGCTTGGGAGGTCAGGGCACATTCCCTTTTTTTTTCTGGTGGATCAGAAGATGCTAAAAGGAGGCCATATCTGAGTTTACCAAATTAAGCTGCTCTTGAGCAGAATGACAAGAAGAAAAGCTTCTGCAAAAGTTATCAAAGAAAGCAACATTTGGGGAGCAAATATCAAAGAGGAATCTGGCATGCTATGTTCAACAGGACAAGTTTGAGAAAGTAAACTGATTATTTCTTTTTAAGTTCAGTTTTTGATTCTGTGAATATCAATGCATATTTTCCTATCGTGTTGCTTCAATAGTGACAGGCTATCAGCACAATTATTTTAGGTTTTCTTTCTGTGACACTTGTTCTCTACAAAGACCACAATTTAAAATGAAATAGGATCTTGTCAACAATAGTGATGTCATTTGGAATAAAATGTGCTCAATGAAGTTTATAGGATACTGGGTGAAAACCTGTAATAGGCTGAAAAATATTTCAATGTGAAATAAAGATGTAGTACAGCTGGCATGTGGTTTTCATTCAGCAGAACTTGGTGTATAAAGGATCAATTTTTCTGGGTCCTGAGAGCCCTTCAAAAACCTAAATACGTAGAGCAGAGGAAAAAATCCCTGCAAACACAAACTATAGTTAAGGTGACTCAAGTGCTGGGAGTGATTATAATGTGAAAGTTCAAAGGAAGAAGAGCAAATGTTCAATACATCTAAGAGAGTGAGACAAAACTAGAGAGTTCCAAGAGAGAAAGAGAGAGAGAGAGAGAGAGAGAGAGAGAGAGAGAGAGAGAGAGAGAGAGAGACTTAATGAATGAACAGGAATTAGCTTCCATATACTGAGCAGACATAGAAGTTGAACTGGAACTTGAGGGTAAGGACATGCTGAGAGGCATGTGAAGAGGATGTGGTTAGAAACACATACCTTTCCTAACTAGTCACTTCATAGGATTCGGGTATACACAATTCATGTTTTTAAAAGTTGATCATGTTTTAATCAGAAAACTCTCTAGAAAAGTGACTTTCTGTCTTCTATAGAAAAGAAGATTAAAAATGTATATGATCCCAGGAAAAAAAATTATCAAAATGTACTTGTTTGAAATTTTTATATGGAATAAAAGAAAAGGCATTGTTTATCCATTTTAAAAGTTTTTAAAATGAAAATATATACATTAATATTTACTCTTTACTGGTGCAAACTAATTGTAAAAAACAGTGAATTTCATTAGGATATTTTGACATATGTATATAAGGTGCTTTGGTCATACTTACCGCTCTTATTCATACTTCCCTTCTGATTGGTTGTCTTCATATTTCCTATTGTGTAAGCTGGCTGCATTAAACATGGTTATGCAGGGTGTGAAAAGATTGACATGTAATAGAAAATATACAACATGTTCTAGATCTTTCTGAATCTGGATAACATCATTTAAATGGAAACTTCTGGATCTATAAAATTTTTCTTTCAAACATGATTTCGCTCTTATAAATATCTGTAAACACCCTTTTGTATATATGCTACATTTCTTCATCCATTCTCTGATGGACAGCTGCATGGATTCCATAATTATGCTATCGTGTTTCTTGGCCACATTAATTATGGTTATGCAGGATATTCGTTCTTTATGTAAACCTTGTTTCCTTTGACTATAGATCCAGTAAGGGTATAGCTAGACCACATGGCACTTCTGTCCTTACTCTTTTGAGCAACTTCTTTACTAAGTACCATAGTGACAGCACTAGGAGTTGAATACAGTAAATATACTTTAAATGTCAGTTTTCTTAAGTTTCTTTATCTAATATAATCAAATAATCAAAATAGGAATAGGATTTCTTTACACATGGAGCCATAAAGGGTTGTGAACAGCCAAGGTACTCTTGAGTAAAAGAAGCAGATAGAAGGGATGAGGTTGACAAAGGTAACAGTAGTGGAGATTGCACCACACAGTGATGCTGACATACACAGATCAATGGGAAAATATCGTACATCCATGAACAATAGTGAAAGGGCTGGAGCTGAATAATAGAATTTTCAACAAATGATAGTGGAAAATTGAATGTATGCATATATAAAGATGAAACGGGACCGCCAATTCACTCATCAGCACCACCATAATCAATTCCAGTTGTAAAATAGCACATCTCATGAAATTATGAAGTTATCATAATGCAAAATACTAGTTCTGTTTGGGGTTATCAAGACAAGTAAGTATTTAATATCTCCTTCACTATTAGTGATTGGTTAAAACGAACATATCAAAATTGAAATAGTTATCGAAGTTAATCATAAAGAGAACATAAATAGCTATGTGCTGAAGTATATTTTATCCACAACAAATTTGTTATTTCTATCAACATTACATACTTAAGAAAGGCTAGTGCAGAGAACTTCTAAAAGTACCTACAAATTAATTTTCTTGGAAATCAATAAAGAAACGTTACACACATAAAAAATAAGCAAAATGCCAAATGAGCATTTCACAAGATAACAACTTGGATAGACTATAAACATCACTAAAATTTACAATTACTCAGGAAAATGCAAATCAAGAATCTGTATACAAACAGGAATAACTAAGAAAAAGCTATATATAAAATATTGTCAGGGCTAGACTTCAATACCAACTTAGGAAGGGAAGGACTCTTCAATTAAATGAGAAAGGAAAAATTCATGGAAATACAAACTACAGGCTATTATCTTATTTCCATAGAATAAGAATTGGAATGAGGGAGAATAAAATAAAGACAAAAATGTCAACAAAAAACTTATACAATTTAAAACAGTGATTGAAAATTCAGGCAAGAAAAAGTGATATTAGCTAAAATGAACACTAGCAAATGAACAAGTTGAAAAACAGAAGAAAATAGGCACAGAATTAAACATTTTCAAAGCAGTGGTCAGTCACAAAGTTATAAAACAGTAGTAATAATAGGGACCAGTAACACAAAGTTAATTAGATGATAAATAGTCAGAAACAAGGTCCAACTGTGAGATAGAAACCTATGCATAAATTAATGAGAAAGGGTACTTAGAAAATCCAGAAATACTGATGATAAATTAAATGGTCCATACGATGAAATACCGTAACAGAGAAGGATAATAATTAGCTAAGGGGGGTTATAAAGGAGCAATTAAAGACCATTTAGTTAAAAAGTAATGTGACACACTATATATACACATACATGAAAATAAACATGCTTATATGTTCATATATATTTTAATGGAAAGAGAATATTATTACTAATGCACAAACAGTCTGGCCGTTGCCTGGTAGCTGTAAGATGCTTTGTGCAGTGACTTCTTTTTACTTTTAGCTATCTAAAATATGTATGTGGGGTTTTTTTTAGTTAAAAAAGAAAGTAAAAAGAAAAAAATTATTTACTGTGTTAAAAATTTCCTTCCATACTGTGAAGTGTATCAGCAATAACATGTGTGTAACATGATGACTGTGAATCTGAAAAGCGATTTAGTCACAGAAAAGTCGTAGACAAGGTCTGATGCCCCTTTTTGCTAGTCAATGCAATCATGAACACGAGGCTTCTCTGGTGTGTAGCGCTTTATCTCCTGGTAGCAGGTGAGTCTTAGTTTTGGGATTCTTGAAAATAGCTCCAAGCCTTCTTTTTCTTGTCAGGATTTCTTCTTGGGCCACTTGGGCTTTTTAATATTTTCTATTTTCTTATCTTCTAGGCTCTTTGGATTGCCAAGTTATCCAGACACCACGACATCTGCTCATTGGGAAAGGACAGAAAGCAAAAATGAGCTGTATTCCTGAAAATGGACATACTTTTGTTTATTGGTACCAACAGAAGCAGAACAAAGAGTTAAAGTTTTTGATTTATTTTCAACGTCAAGAAGCTCGTGACAAAATAGACTTGTTCAAGGAGCGAATTTTAGCTGAATGTCCCTTAAACTCACCCTGCAGCTTGGAAATCCAGTCCTCCGTGGCAGGAGACTCAGCGTTATACCTCTGTGCCAGCAGTCTGTCCACAGCACTGAAATGTGTATTGTCTTTAGCACACAAACTCTCCATGGAGCCAACTCAGGAAGCAGGTGATACTCTGGGTTGGAAGGAAGTAAGGGAAATTAACTGGGGCCAGTGGAAACCACAGTAGATTTCATACAAGACTAGAAGGTATCTAGAAGCGGAGTGATAGCTTGACAATTCTAGACCTAGGAAGAATGACCTTTCTGTGGTGATTTTCTCCTCTTTCTTCTTTGTGTGTTTCTGTTTGTGTCTACTACTTGTTTCTTTTCATGATGAAAATACTCATGATGAAAATAAGGTGGTCACCAAAGAGCTCAAACTTCCTTTCACTATTTCCCCATGCTGATAAAGATCAAGATGGCTCTTTCAGAGTCTGAATTTAATGATCTCAAGAGAGTAGATTATTGATGATCTATCAGTCCCTTCTCAGGGAACACCTAACACTAGCCATAGGTGTATGTGTTTTAAGTTACATATGTTGTTTTATTACGGATGCTACCTGGATTTTCACTCTATTCCTAAGGTCAAGGTGAGTGAAACACTCCATATTTCTGTATGTCATTCACACAATGCACTTCTTCCAGAAAAGTATTTCAAGTTTTCTGTAAGAACTAAATACTTACAGCATCTCATAGACTGTTATTGTCAATGTGGGATATGTGATCAGAGATATGATTAAGGAGAAATGAAGGCTATATTATTTTCTTTACCTGTAGATTATGAAACGACACTAGAAACAACTCACTTTGGATCTATTCTTAATGTAGAAGTTTAAAACCTTTCTCTCAAACCCCATATCTCCTTATGATGTTTCCCACTGACCTAGGATGGCCAGTTAAACAGTGCTGTGTAGAGATTCTACTATCTTTTTTTTTTGCTCTCCAAGATACTGCCAGTTTTATCATTCAGTTGAAGAAGATATTTTCAGAAACATATAGTCAATACTTCAGTACAAAAGGGCAAGGGGAAGAAAGAAGAGAAGAAAAGTTTAGTGATAAGTAGTACCTGGGGTCCAAGCAAGCAAAAGCAGGAGGAATTCAAGTGTGAGGCCAGTTATACAATATAATGTAAGTTTCATAATATCTTGACTTAAGATCTTGGAGAGACAGACAGACAGACAGACAGACAGACAGACAGACAAACAGACAGACAGACAGACAAAGAGAGACAGAGAGACAGAGAGAGAACAAGACAGAGAGAAACTAATAAAATAATAGTATTAGCATTATCCAAAAGTAATATGATATATTAATTTGGATATTATATTTACCTTATGAATTCTCAAAATATAGATGTGTAGCTTATATTAATAAAACAACACAAGACAGTTCTTAAAGAGTGAAATATTATTAGGTTTTATTTAGTGGAGTAATGAAAGACTATCCTGTCACCATAAATTGCTTTGATGGTACTGAAACAATAATATAACAATTGCATCTGCAAAGGGATCAATTCACAGGAAGGTTGCATATGAAGCCTTTAGTGGCTTTGTGTGATTATTTTTCTCTTCTTTTGTCCACCTCTTGCTTTTCTCTCTCAGCCTACTTTCCTTCTCTTTGATACAGTTGCATGGGGAGAATAAGACAGTCACTAAAGATAACATGTTTCTATATTTTCATTAAGCATTAACCCAGTTCTTTATGAACTTAGGTTTAAAATCTCAAGACAAAAGGGAATCATGAAGATCCAGGCAAGACTGTGTCACAGACAAACCACTGTAGACACATATGTATCTATTTTAACACAGAATAACTTGTCATTTTATTAATGACACAAATCTGATACTTCGAGATCTGTCCTCCCTAATCTGAAATGGAGTGAAACGCCATGTGTCTATGCACACCTCCTATCCGGTTTTTTCTTAATCAAAGGTGCATAGTATTCCCTCCATGTTCAGGAAATAAATGCTCCAGGAAATAAATAAATTTTTTTCTAGTCTACTGACAGCATTAAAACACCTGGACTGAACCTGTGACGAGCTTTTATAATCTCCAGGAGCACTGTGAGAAACATGAGGGTTGAGACATGGACTATTGCATATATGACTTGCTTTACACATCTTAAATGTTACTCTTTGTCTCCAGAAACACATGGCAGAGCAGAGCACTTCTTCCATATCCTCATATCTGCTCCTGACACAACTCAGTGAGTAGCCAGAGCCAATCTAGAGGTGATAGTAGGTTCAGTAGATTCCACATTTTTTTCACTTTCTCACATCTGTTTGATGATAAAGATGTAGATGAATGATTTAAGAATAAATAAAATCTACCATTCAACAACAAAGCAGAAGGGGAGAGATAGAAATCTATTTTCTGTATACAGAAGAAGCAGTGCACTGTTGTGGTGACTCAGCCTTATAACTGATGGGCTACACAGCTGATCTTGACAAAAAGAGAAAGAGGAAATGAGAAAACTCTAAAAAAACCATTACATCATAAAATGTAATTAATTGATTAAAGGTGTAAGAATTACCTGACAGTAGTATGAGCCTTTAAATTTGGTATTCTTATGTTTAGTTTATAGCCTTTTAAAATATAGATGTATTGTTTTGACAGTAAAGTATTTAGAAAATTCTTTTAAGTGAATAAAACTTTAACAACTTATATTTCGTGGTTACAGAAAAGCTCTTCTAATTCTGTGTATTGCTTTGGTAGTAACACGAAGCCATAATGTAAGAAGTGAGTCTACCAAAGGATGATGTCACAGAAAGGTTACTGTTAAAACAAGAAGACACCACATCCTTTGCTGCTCCAGAGGGGCCATGGGTGCACGGCTCATCTGCTGTGTAGCGCTTTGCCTCCTGGGGGCAGGTGAGACCTAAGCTTGCTAGATAGATTCAAACACACCCAAATAATTTTCCTTGCTGGGGTCTCTTCTGTCCAGGGTTTATGTTTTATTTTTAATTTTCTTCCAGGTTCTTTTGATGCTGCAGTTACTCAGACACCAAGACATTTGATCAAGCTGAAAGGGCAGAAAGCAGAGATGAGGTGTAACCCTGAAAAGGGGCACACTACTGTTTTCTGGTATCAACAAAAACAGAGCAAAGAATTAGAGTTCCTGATTTACTTTCAGAATCAACAGCCTGTTGATCAAATAGACATGGTCAAGGAGAGATTCTCAGCTGAGTGTTTCTCAAACTCATCCTGCAACCTGGGAATCAAAACTTCTGAAGCAGAAGACACAGCACTGTACCTGTGCTCCAGCAGTCAATCCACAGCGCTGAAATGTGCACTCCCCCCAGTGCACAAACTCACCAGGGAACCACTTAGGGAGCAGGTGATGCTGGAAGGAAGGAAGAGAAACTAACTGGAGCCAGTGCAAACCACAACAGACTTCACACAGGATAGAACCTTCCAAAACCTCACACCCAGACACTCAGGAAAAGCTGCTCTTCATATTGCTTTTCTCTCTTTTTTTTCTGTTTTGTCTTTTTGACCCTTTATGCCATGATTTTTCTCTCATGTGGTCTTCATGTTAATAATCAGATGATTAACAACATCATAAATTTGTAGGTATCATTTTGCCAAACTGATAAGTTTGGTTACTTCTGAACCAATATCTTAAGGGAAAGTAGGTTTATAATGATTTAGCCATGGTTTTCTTGGTACATTCAATTCTATACACATCGGTAGTATCTTAGTCACATATTACAATACTGTTTCTTGTAAACTGCCCCCCCCGGGTTCAATTTGAGTGAAACACTTCATGCTTCTATGTGCTCATCTAACCTGTCCCTTCTAAATGAAAGATTATATCCAAAATCTACTTTTTCCATAAAGGAAATGAATTGTCCAGAGCTTCCTTGCAACATTGAAACCCATGTACATAGCACTTCATAGACAATTACAATAACTTCATAGTATTACATGTCTTGGCATATGAAAGTTGAAATATGGAGTGTTTGATGTGTGTTTTATGTTATGTATCTACATTTTGCCAAAGGATTATTCACAATTAATGTGTGTTCTAGTCCCATTGTGACACACACAAGCGTTTCTCTCATATCCTTCTCTGTCCCACTGACATTATCCAGTGACCAGATCAAGCCATTTTTCACATTGCCAATAGCTTGACTATATTCCACAATCTCATGTTCTGTCCTAAGACATCATTGATTCCATGATAGGGATGCAGACAAAGAATAATAAATAAATAATATCAATAATTTGTTAGGGAACAATAATGGAAGAGATTTTGGTCAATGATATGTGGAGAGATGAGAGAGAGAGAAAGCTGCTGAGGTGGTTTGAGCCTAAAATGACAACAATGGGGTGGCTGAGAGAAGGAATCACTAATTCATTAAGAAAATAAAAGGTAGACGTGTTGGGAAGAAAATGGAGGTTTATTGTGAATGGAAGAAAATTAGTGGAGATAATGACAAGAATATAAGCAAAGTAATATATGCATATATAATGAGTATGTATATAACACAATTGTAAAAGAATAAAATACAGAGTATTGTATTGTAAACATTGTCCAGTGGTAGTATATTTTAATCTGATATTCCTATAATTTCATGACCAAAAAAATGCAATGCATTGGCTATGTTAGTTAAATACACTTAAACTATTATGAATGAATAAAGAATTAATGAGCTATCTCTACAAAGGTGAGGAAAAGCTTTCTTTCTGATACTGAGAGCTTTTTCATTCTCACTGGTTACACAAAGCAGTAATGTAGTAGTGGAGTCTGCAAAAGATCAAGTCACAGGAAGACAGCAGATAACACACGAAAACACTGCATCCTCTGCTGCCCTAGTGTGATCATGGGATCAAGGCTGCTCTGCTGTGTAGCACTTTGTCTGCTTGGAGCAGGTGAGTACTGAGTCAAAAGGGAAAGGACTTGTCCTCGCACACTTCAAACTACAGTTCTCATTCTTTTTGCCTTTTTCTTTTTTTTCTTTCTTTCTTTTTTTTTTTTTTTTTTGGTTTTTCAAGACAGGGTTTCTCTGTTTAGCCCTGGCTGTCCTGGAACTCACTCTGTAGACCAGGCTGGCCTTGAACTCAGAAATCTGCCTGCCTTTGCCTCCCAAGTGCTGGGATTAAAGGTGTGCACCACCACTGCCCAGCCAAACTACAGTTCTCAATGTTTTTCTTTTTCAGTGTCCTTCCAGAGCTCTTGTCATTCTCTGTCTCTCCCTCTTCTAGGCTCTTTGGTTGCTGAAGTAACCCAGATTCCCAGATATCTGATCAAAGAGAAAGGACAGAAAGCACATATGATCTGTAATCCAGAAAAGGGGCACGATGTCTTTCACTGGTATCAACAGAACCAGAAAAAAGAACTTACATTTTTGATTAACCTTCGAAATGAAGACATTATTGAGCAAACAGACTTGGTCAAGAAGAGATTCTCAGTTAAGTGTTCCTCTAACTCACCCTGCATCCTGGAAATTGTATCATCTGAAGAAGGAGACTCAGCACTGTACCTCTGTGCCAGCAGTCTGTACACAGTGCTGAAATGTACATCATACTCTATGCATAAACCCATTGTGGACACAATTCAGGAAGCGGGTGATACCAGAAACTGGAAGGCAGTAACAGAAACTTACTAGATCTGGCACCAACCGCAGCAGATTTCACAAAGAGCTGGAAGCTATTTAGAAGCACATGAGCAACAGGCCAGGTCTGAGATAGCTACCCTTCAAGCCACATTCTTTTGCTTGTCTCATGTTTGTCTGTACCTAACTATCACTCTCCCTTCACACAGTGCTCATGGCTGAAATAAGAAAGTCATTACAAATCTACAGATCATAACTTCTGATTACACCCTTCCATAACACTGGTGTTGATTAGTATCAGTTTTTGAGAATTTGTTTTTCAAAAATATGTAAGTGTGTGTGTGTGTGTGTGTGTGTGTGTGTGTGTGTGTGTGTGTGTGAAAATGCATACACATACACGTGTGCATATTTGTTTGTAGATGTCCATGGAGTTCAGAAGAGGGGGTATATTTTTTGGAGCTTGAATTATAGACAGTTAGTTGTGAGCCACTGGATTAAGTGCTGGGTTCTGAATTCCTGTCATCTCCTGGAACCAGATGCCCTTAACTGCTAACCCTCTTTCTAGCCTCCTGTTTTTGTGTTTAATTCTTAAGAGAATGAAACACATATTTGTATGTGTTGAAAGTCATGTAAATGTCATTTTATTATGGATGCAATTCTGGCACTCAGTTTCTCTCCTAAGCTTGAAGTGAGCAAAACCATGTTTCTATGAGTCAGGCACCTTCTTCCTTCTAATGACCTATGGCACACTGTGTCTCCTTTTTCTGGAAAAGAAAATACTTTTCCTCCAGTCTCCTATCAACATAGAAAACACTCATATAGATGATTCATGCAGTTATCATGTGTCTTTTAAGTCACATTATGGTATTATATTCATGGAATAATGATTATTTACACATGGAGGGTGTCTTAGTATTTTACTGCTTTGAACAGACACCATGACCAAGGCAATTCTTTATAAGGACAGCATTTAATTGGGGCTGGCTTACAAGTTCAGAGGTTCAGTCCGTTATCATCAAAGCAAGAACATGGCAGCATCCAGGCAGGCCTGGTCCAGGAGGAACAGAGAGATCGACATCTTCATCTGAAGGCTGCAAGCAGAATACTGGCTTTCAGGAAGCTATGATGAGAGTCTTAAAGCCCACGCCCACAGTGACACACCTACTCCAACAAGTACACAGCTACTCCAACAGGGCCACACCTTCTAATAGTGCCACTCACTGGGCTGAGCATATACAAACCATAACAGAGAGCTATTTTATTTTATTTTATTTTATTTTATTTTATTTTATTTTATTTTATTTTATTTTATTT